CTGGAATGGATTTCCCAGAGCAGCTGTGGCTGCTCCATCCCTGGGAGTGTTCCAGGCCAGGTTGGATGGGGCTTGGAGCATCCCGGGCTGGTAGAAGGTTTCCCTGCCCATGGCAAGGGGTAGGGTGAGATGATCCTCATGGTCCCTTCAACTCAAAGCATTCCAGGATTCCTAGTGCTGGTTTAGATTGGATATCAGGAAGGAATTCCTCCCTGGGAGGATGCTGAGACCCTGGCACAGGTTATCCAGAGAAGCTGTGGCCAGCTTGGGTGAGGCTTGGAGCAGCCTGGGCTGGTAGAAGGTTTCCCTGCCCGTGGCACAGGGGTGGGGTGGGATGAGCATCAAGATCTCTCCAACCCAAACTAGTGTGGGATTGGAATTTGCTGCCCAATGGCACACACACACACACAGTGGGTACTACTGGACCTATAAGGTCCTTCCAACCCAACCCAGCGTGTAGCTGTGGAGTCACAGAACCCTCAAACCCCTCCCTGAGCTGTGTTATTAGTCTCTCCTCTCCCCACAGCAGATCCCTACGTCAAGGTCAACGTGTACTACGGCAGGAAGCGCATCGCCAAAAAGAAGACTCACGTCAAGAAATGCACTTTGAATCCTGTCTTCAACGAGTCCTTCATCTATGACATCCCTGCTGAGCTCCTGCCTGACATCAGCATCGAGTTCCTGGTCATCGACTTCGACCGTACCACCAAGAACGAGGTGGTTGGAAGGCTGATCCTGGGAGCTCACAGCGTCGGCGTCGCCGGCGTGGAGCACTGGAGAGAGGTGTGTGACAACCCCAGGAAACCTGTGGCCAAGTGGCACAGCCTGAGCGAGTACTAGCCCCATGGGGAAAGGTGACCACGACCAACTTGTAGAACAGACTTTGACCTTGTTTTAGCTGTAGAACTAAACTTTCGTTCCGAAGCAGCAGCTGGTTGGTTCTCTCTAGTGATGTGATATTTGATTATTTTTTTTCGCAGGGCACTAAAAAAAAAAAACCACAAAAAAAAAAACCACAAAAAAAAACCTTCTAAAGAGCATTTAAATGGGAATCAAAAGGTTACCACGACTATATATTACCAGTGTAATCACACTCTTGCATGCTACTACAAACTGAGATTAGTCTAACTGCCAATATCAAGGTTTAATCCAAGTCTCTGTCACTATGGAAGTTGTGTTCGTGCTGAGCTGTCGTTGCTGGTATTCACCACGATGGGCCTGTCTTTCTGAGGCTTCTCCCAAGGGTTCTGAATTCTGCTGGTTCACCTCTAGTTTCTTGTTAGTTTGTCTGCCCATTGGTCCTTGCAGTTGTGCTCTGTGCTGGTTTGGGAATCCCAACCATGGTGCCATGTAGAGATGGTTCAGATCCTGCACTGGCACAAAGAGGAAAACACAGGGAAAGTGGCATGAGCCCTCAGAGAAGAAGCAGATGTGCTGCCAGGGACTGAGGTCCTTGCTTGGGGAGCTGTAAGGTCAGCACATCCAAGACTTGCATCTAAAATCCACACACTGGTTGCTTTGGCCATGTGGAAGCTGCACCAGGTCCAACCTCACACGCTCAAACCATGGGGGAAACTCTGCTCAGCGTTGGTTTCTTAGCTCTGCCTGTGCATGAAAAGCCCAAGGAGAACCAAACCTTGGTGAGGAAGCTCTGAAATATTAGGTGGGAAGTTGTAGCTGCTGGGTAAGTTGTGGCATAACATAGCTGAGGTAGAGGAAGAGCTTGGGGGAGGATCTTGGACGTGGAAGGAGGACGAAGCTTCTCTCCAGCCATACCTGAGCCAGTTTGCATTAGACATGATCCTGCAGAGCCACATCTCAACGGAGGAGCAACCACAGGGCAAAAATCTGGGCCTAAAATGGGACAGACTCGGAAGTCCAAGGCAACTTGGGAGAGTTCTTAAATCCCAAATGAGCTCTGAGCTTAGGCTGTGACCTCCAGGGGAAAGCTGGGACTGCCCAGTGGGTTTGAACAATAGTTCCTAAAGCTCCTCCAAGAGAAGTTTGGAAGCAACAGCCTCAGCTGTGCTGGAGCACACACAGCCCCAGAGCTGCCCCTGTAGCTCCTGCAGCATCCTGGCACCTAATTCCATTGGGCTCGTGGCCAAAGAGAAGAGAGAAGGAGGAGAATTGGCAGCAGATAATTGACTGTAAACCAGTATTGGCAAACTGAGCAGAAAGACTTGTCACTTCTGGACTCTGCAGTGGAAAGCCAAAGCAGAAATGAGTTTGCAAAGAGGTTCTTGAACACCACAGGGTTCAGGAACCCTTTGGTTGCTTCCAGGCAGTCAGTTTGCTCCTTGCCCTGGGGGATGTAAATGATGTATTATAATGCACAAAATTTAACTCCTGACAGGTCTTGACTTTGTAGCCCTGTTGGGAAAAAAAATGATCCTTTCCACCTTGTCACTCATGAAAAACTGAGCAAGTCTCCCCAGTGAGCAGCAGCTGCTGGGAGGGTGGACAGGCAGCCCCTGGGAGCTGAGCTGGCACCACTTGGCACCTCTTGCCAAGGATTTCTTTAGGGAGAGCTGAGTTTTCTCACTCAGGGTTGGTTGCTCACTGGCCCTTTCCTCCTAGGCAGTGTGTCTTGAGCAGCAGAGGAGGCTTTGAGCCTGCAG